GGATTTTTAACTCCAAAGCTAATAAAAGAGCTGGTCGTATCTCCTCCATCCTATTAATGGGCCCTGCACACTCAAGAGGGTCTATCTCCAAATTGGGACATTTCATTTCATCTCGGCTGTCAGATGGGGCACGTCGCCATGGCAACCCCTCAGCATCCGTCAACATACAGTACACCGACCCGACTAGAAAAAAGATTTGACTGCCTCGTCTTTCCACATGATGCTGTTACAGCCAAAATATGTTTGTTTTTGGGGTATTTTTCGCTTTTATTTTTCTACAAACTCATGTTGGTTTGCCAGTTTCCAGATCAAACATCAACACGGAGGGATTTCTTGGAATGGGAGCTTTAAAAAGACACAAAAATAACCTAAACGTATAGTTTAGAGCCTCTAAAAACAGGAAAACGTGTGTTTTTTTTGTATTTTTCTCTTTTATTTTTCTACTAACTCATATTGCTTTGCCAGTTTCCAGATCAAACATCAGCTAGGAGGGATTTCTGGAAATGGAAGCTTTAAAAAGACCAAAAAAATAACCTAAACGTCTAGTTTAGAGCCTCTAAAAACAGCAAAACATGTTTGTTTTTTTGTACTTTTGGCTTTTAGTTTTCTACTAACTCATGTTGCTTAACAGTTTCCAGATCAAACATCAGCTCGGAGGGATTTCTGGGAATGGGAGCTTTAAAAAGACACAAAAAATAACCTAAATGTCTAGTTTAGAGCCTCTAAAAACAGGAAAACATGTTGTTTTTTTTGTATTATTTGCTTTTATTTTTCTACTAACTCATGTTGCTTAACAATTTCCAGATCAAACATCAGCACGGAAGGATTTCTGGGAATGGGAGCTTTAAAAAGACACAAAAACAACCTAAACGTCTAGTTTAGAGCCTCTAAAAACAGGAAAACATGTTGTTCAGTGAGACAAAAATTAAACTAAACTGGATTAACAGACTGAACTACACATAGTTTATTAATGATAATCCTTATTAGGAGTTATATAGGCTCATATACTTTATGAAGAAATTAGCCAGAAAAAACACATAATTTAAATGCTGACTAAGACATCTGGTCTTTCATTTATCATTTATCAGGTTTTTGATCACAACATGGAGCCCTAACCCTAACCCTAACCCCACTTTTCATGATGGGATTTTAAAAAAAAACGAAAGCATTTAAGTGAAGGAGCAGATGGAGATTGTAAGATAAGGATGTCCCAGAATGCCTTGC